TCATGTGGACCCAAAGCAGCTTACAATGTACAAAACATGCAAAAGAAAATCAAATTTCACAGATATGCAAGGGCTGCCTTATGCCTGCTGGGGCTGGGAGATCTTGCCCGCCAGCACTTCAGTAGCCAACAGGAGAATTTTTAAAAAACAGTTACTGGTGACAGCATGATATCTCACCTTCTGTGAATCACCAAGATTTATAGAGATGCTTGATGTCATTTCTGGGGAAAACCCAGAAGTGACATCAATCCTCTCTAGGAATCACCATGTAAACCAGCAATTCCTAGAGAGGCAAGGGACATCACTTCTGGCTTTTTTTAGAAGTGACATGACACTATTGCTGATGGCCCCCTGTGTCCCTGTCTCAGCTGCCCTCCCACTACTTGCCATCAGTTACAATTACTACTTGCCATCAAGAAACTAACTCATGAGGCAGAGCAAGTATCAGCAACTCTGCCCTCAATGAAACAGTCTCTCCTCAGCAGGCCTCGTTTTGGGCCGGAGCTCACCGGAGCAACGCTCTGGCAGAGAGGAGGCCAGGGGACGGGGACATGTAGCAAGCCCCACCCTCTTCTCCCAGCAGCCCTCCCTTCAGTCGGCCAGGGAGGACAAAGAAGTAAAGTAAGTTGTGCATCCCCCCTGCCTTTCCAGACCCTGGAGAGGCCTCCCCAACCCCATGTCTCCAGGCCTGCGCTGCCATGTGGGGGCCTGGAGAGGCCTCTGCAACCCCCCAGCCCTGTCTCTCCAGGCCTGCACTGTCACGTGGGGCCCTGGAGAGGCCTCCCCCACCCCCAGCCCAATCTCTCCAGGCCCGCTCTGCCATGTGGGGGCCTGGAGAGGCATCCCCAATCCCCCAGCCCCATCTCTCCAGGCCCACGCTGCTGCAAGGGGCCCTAAAGAGGCCTCCGTAAATCCCCCAACCCCGTCTTTCCAGGCCTCCGCAACCCCAACCCCCTGTCTTTCCAGGCCCGCATTAAGCAGATCTGCATGTTTCTCTCCCCCATCCCCAATAGCTAGCAATGCAAAGAGTCCAGTGGCATCTTTAAGACCAAGGCTTTTTTCAGGTAGAAGCTCTCCCTCCTCTGTGAGGGCAGATCTTCATGTCCCCCCCCCCATAGCTAGCAATGCAAAGAGTCCAGTGGCACCTTTAAGACCAAGGCTTATTTAGGTAAAAGCTCTCCCTCCTCTTCATGAATTCAAATACTGAAAATTTGAAAAACGCTGTGTGTATGTAATGTTTCATTTTTTATTCTAATTTTGGGTTGCCCACCATTTTCCGAGCAGCCCTGCAGTGCCAGAGGAGTTGCTTCCAAAATCTGACAGAGTTTTGGCTGTGACTTTTGACACAGTGGGAAGATCTATAGTTAAAAAACAGAAAATATCTGTGGCGTACACAGAAAAGTACCTCTGTTAATCTCTGAGTTTTTTAGATCTTGATGTGAAAGTACAAGTCTCATGAGTGAAGTATTATCACTGTGCTGGGGGGTTGTATATTAAACCCTGCTGTGAGATTCTAGTCATGGAGAAGAGAATGACAAGAAAACTAACAAACCTGCATGGAGTAAACAGGAAATGTTATCTGATACAAGAGTGTTATAATTAGGCCTAAAATAATTAATTGAGTAATCAATATGGTTAATTTATTCATTAAGCACAGATTTAAAATGTGGATTTTTAATTAGATTTTAACTGGACTATCCCCTGGAAGGGTGCTTAGTGCTAATAGCATGCTTGTAAATGTTCCATGGCTGGAATCTCAGGAGCATTTTCGAGCAGATTTAAGAAGGTATTTACCATTGCTAGAGCCCCTGCTACATTAGAGACCCAGTTTAGTGTAGTGGTTAAGTGCGTGGACCCTAACCTGGGAGAACCGGGTTCGATTCCCCACTCCTCCACTTGCAGCTGCTGGATGACTTTGGCCAAGCCATAGTTCTGACAAGAGCTGTCCCTGAAAGGGCAGTTTCTGTCAAGAGCTCTCTCAGCCCCACCTACCTCACAGGGTGTCTGTTGTGGGGAGGGGAAGGGAAAGGAGTTTGTAAGCTGCTCTGAGACTCCAAGTAAAGGGCAGGGTATAAATCCAATCTCCTCCTCCTCCTCCTGTAATGAGGAAAGCAGTAACTTTTGAAAAGCGTGTGGTCCAATCTTAAGACCCAATGTAAAAGAATCACGGCAGGTCATAGGAGTGGGCTAAAGAACCAACGGAAGCATGAATTCCATCAACCTTCTGTTGTTGTTTGTTCTCCCTTTCCTCCCTCTTCTCTCTGTCTCTCTCAATGCCCAAAGTTTAGATTATAAGTACCTTTGAACAGGGATTTGGCTCTTTGGCACTAGAGCCTGGGGAGGGCAAGGTTTGAGGAAGGGAGGGACTTCAGCAGGCTAAAATGCCATGGAGTCCCCTCTCCAAAGCAGCCATTTTTTCCCCAGGGGAACTGATCTCTGTAGTCTGGATGAGATAAGTGGTAATTCCAAGAGAATTCCAGACCCCCACCTGGAGGCTGGCAACCCTAGACCGTAGATAGTCCTAAAGAGTCGTGTTCTGGCAACCAGAAAGCCACTAGGATTAAAAGAAATCCCCCCCCCCATTACATAGGGTTGCCAGGTCCCCTCATCACTCCAGTGGGGGGATTTGGGGGTGTCCTGGGGGTGGGCAGGGATGCCCACAAGACAGTCCCCAGGGTGGGGGTCTGTCCAGCTGACTGGTGTGGGAAGCCCCACCCTGAAGCCCAGCCGCAAGAGTGTCCACCCAGCCAGCCACTTCTTTCCCTCCTGCCCGATTTAAAGAGCTTCAGCTGATTGGCGGGGACAATGTGGCCTGCTGACCAGCTGGAGGGTCCTTTATAACTAGCAGAAGGAAGGGAGGGGGCAGTTGTGGGCCACACACGTGGCTCACAAAAAGGATCTTTTTGTGAGCGGGGTGGGGGCTGCAGTGCACAGAGCTGGGGGAAACAGGCCCTGCGTGCCACGGCCCCTACCTCGCTCGCAAAGGCTCCTTTAAAGGGTCTTTTTGTGAGCTGATCATGTGGCTTTTTGTGAGCTGAGCTCCTTCCCTCCTGCTAGATTTAAAGGGCCATGTGGTTGGTGGGCCACGTGGTCCCTGCAGATTAGCTGAAGCCCTTTAAATTGGGCAGGAGGGGGTGGCCGGCAGATGGCCACTCTTAGGGCTGAACTTGGAGGCGGGGCTTCCCATGCCGGCCAGCTGGCCAGGAGCAGAATGAAGTCCCCAGAAGCAGGGGAACCCCCACCCAGACCTGGGGGCTGGCAACCCTACCATTACTGTACATAATGGTAAACTGGCCCCTTATTGTGGATGAAAGCAGAACTGGGCCACCTACAGGCAAGGCAGAAGATTCTACATAGCCGGAGGACATCCTGTATGCAAAAAGATTGTAAATCAATCCAAAGGGAAAAATGGCCTGATGAGTACTGAATATAGTGCAGAAGTACACAACTCAATGGGCAGCTGCAGGTCACAGTCAAAAGGAACAGTGAAGATAAAAATAGCTTCTTAGACTTTCAAAAATCCTGCAGGGAGAGTTTTGTGGGGATATGATGCATTCCCAAATTGTCCACCCTGAATTTCTTTGTGTGGGCCCCAAGCCCCAACACGCAAAGTGGCCTTATCATGAAGTCAGACCACTGGTCTATCAAGCTTAGTGCTGCCTACTCTGACCCGACAGTGACTCTCCAAGGTTTCAGCCTGCTACGTGGGCTTGAACCTGAGACCTTCTGCATGCAAAGCAGATAGGGAGGCCAGATTCCAGGTGGGACCTGGGGATTCCCAGGAAGTACAGCTCATACCCAGACTACAGAGATCAGGTCCTCTGGAGAACATGGATGATCTGGAAGGTGGACTCTATGGCATTGTGCCCCACCGAGGTTCCTGTCCTCCCCAAACGCCATCCCCAAATCTCCAGAACTTTCCCCACTTGGATCTGGAAACCCTATCCCCATCCCCTGCTGGTGGCCAGGGGGGACCTGGCAACCCTAAAAGGAGATGTTCTGCCACTGAGCCATGGTCACAAAGTGTAAAAAGTAAGGAAGTTGGCTCCCATGTCAGTCACACAACCAAGGTAGGGGTCTCCACCTTTTAAGGGTATGCAGAAAAAAAAATTAACTTTGTCAATTAATCACAAGAAAAAACAACAACTGGAAAACTGTCCAGATGAGGACTTGAGGTTGTTTTAGAAGGGACAGAATAGTGACTCAATCTGACTCAATCTGACTCAATCTGACTCAGTCTGACAGTTCCTGAATTTCGCTTATGGGGGGGGGGGGAAAGAAAGCTGGCTCCTGAGAATTTAGGAAAATCTTGGAGATCTTTTTTGGGGGAGGGGTTTCCAGATCACTCCTCTCCTGAAATTCCTCACAAATCTCCAGTATGATCTAACTTAATGTCTAACAGAGTTCAATGGGGATGAACAGATTATTTAAACTAGATAACTAATCATTTAAACAAGTTACTTTTCTGCCAATTAAAAGTTGGCCAGTTAATGTACTGGCTGCAGCCTCCTGAGTCCCCCCCCCAATTTTATTCTGAGGGAGGGGGGTCAGTAGACACTAAGGAACAGCATGGGGGCAAAGTATGGGGCAGGATTGCCAAACTCCAGGCAGGGTCTGGAGATCTCTTGGAATGATAATTGATTTCCAGTCTACAGAGATCAGTTCACTGGAGAAAATGGAAGCTTTGAAGGGTGGACTCCATGGTCTCACATCCCTGCTGAGCCGCCTCCCTTCCCCAAACTCCACCATCCCCAGGCTCTGACCCATATCTCCATGAATTCCCCACTCTGGATTTGGCAACCCTAGTAAGGGGTCTGTCCGTTCTAGGAAAGGGAATTCGCAGAAACTGTCACCCTATCTTTAAAAAACACCATTGCCCATTAGTCTTTGGTTGCATGCAGACCACTGATTGGTTGAGAGGGACAGTTATAAATAACAGGCCCTAGATATGGTGCTTACAGTGTTTGTCTAACCTGCTTTTCTTCTTGTCTTCCTTTCAGGTTGAACCACAGGTATGTACTTGTTCTTGTTTGTTTCCTTCCGTCAGATGATTAGTAATTAGCAGCTAACAAGAGGGGAGCCCATGAGGACTCACAGGGGAGGAGAGATCCCTTTTGTCTTGTAGGGGATCCCAGGAGAGGTGCCACAGAAATTTTCTAAATAAATAAATAAATCACCTCCCCCGCAGCCTCTGCTTCGCGCCCCCAAATCCTAGCCTCTTGTTATGATTCTGCTTTTTTCACTTGCCCAGTAACAATATTGTGGCCCCTTCTGCACTGACAGCTTGCTCCAGAGTATCTGAGGACTCAAGCCTTAAGAGTTGACTTTGCAGTCACACACATTCCCTCTGCACTGGTTTCCCCCCTCCGGTTTATTTATGTATGTATTCTGTATGCATTCTGCATCAACAAGCAAACCCCACATTTTTTGAGCTAACTGGCTGCCAACCCCTCCCTCCCTCCCTCCCTTCGTCATTCTGCAAAAAGAAAAGGAAGGGAGGTGGAAATCCAGATCCACACATGCAAGACTGAAACATTTGGCAGCAGGAAATCCCCATGTCCTTTATCTATATATCTAATAGCGAAAGGTGCCCCCTGCGTGCGGATACCTAAATCCGCGCATCGGGGGCACCTGGGGGGGAGGGAGATTTTCATGCACACTTGGGGCAGTCCCCAGGTGTGCACAAAAATCTAAAAACCCGGAAAAAATATCAGGGGGATACCTAAATCCCCCCGAAAGTGACAGAGCGTTCCCCACGCATGCGCAGGGAACGCTCTGCATACTCCCTGACCGCATCTGGGAGCAGGAAATCCCCATGTCCTTTATATTTTCTGATTCCTTCTTATGCTCTCTCTCGCTTTTTAAAAGTTTGCCTGAGTGGGAAGGAGGGAAACAGAACAGGGAGGGAGCGTCAACCTAAAGAGAGAGAGGCAGAAATGAGGGAATGGCAGTGGGCTGTACTTAAATACCAGCAGAAACACTTTAGAAAGGATTAGTGATTTGAAAGAAGATGAGAACAAAGAATTGCCAAAAGGAGTTTAGGTAGCTGCGGGGCAACAGTGTGCCGGAAGCGGTCTGAATGCAGATTTCTGTAAAACAAATGCAGAAACAAGAGAAAGCCCAGAAACAAAGTGAAAGTGACAGCGGGAGGGAATGCACAACAGAAGAATAGGATGTGCTCAGAGACTGAGGCAAAATACAGGTGCAGAAAGGGCCCGTGTGACCCTCCTTACCTCCAACCAGCCCAATTGTTCATTCTTTCCTTCCTGCTCAGTTGTTCATTTTCTGCCCCCATTCCCAACCCACCCAGCAGTTGGTTTTTCCCAACCCACCCAGCATTCCCAACCCACCCAGCAATACTTCCAGCCACCCACCTGCTTCCTCTCCCCCCATAGCAACAGTGGCAGCACTCTAAGAATCACAACAGATCTCCCAGCTACACAGATCAATTCACCTTAGGGCTGCCAGCTCCAGGTTGGGAAATTCCTGGCGATTTGGGGGTGGAGCCTTGGTACAGTGAGGCTTGGGGAGGCAAGAAGCCTCAGCAGGGTATAATGCCATAGACTCAAGCCTTCAAAGCAGCCATTTTATCCAGGGGAACTGATCTCTGTCACCTGGACAGCAGTTGTAATTCTGAATGATCTCCAGTCCTCACCTGGACGCTGGCAATGGTAGTTCTTGTGGAGGAAATGACTGGTTTGGAGGGTGGAGTCTGTGGCATTACACCGGTCTGAAGTTCCTCCCCTCCTCAAATCCCACCCTCTTCAGGCTCCACCCCTCAAATGCCCAGCAATTTCCCAAGCTGGAATTGGCAACCGTATTTCCTTCCCACCCAACAGCCAACCTTCCTTTATCTGCCTCTCTGTCTTCAGCTTTCCATCTCCACCCCCTCCCCCACAGCCTCTACCTAGGCAAATTACAGTCTTTTTCCACAGTGGGGACCAAAGCAGCTGTGAGGTTGGTTAGGTTGAAAGTATGTGACTAGTCCAAAATCACCCAGTCAGCTTCCACTGCAAGATGGGGATCTGAACCTGGGTCTTGCAGACCTTACTTTGAAGCTCTAACTGCTGCACCTCACTGGCTTTCATAGGGTGGCTGCTGATGAACAGTAGCAAGCATCTGGACCAAGTTGTCATGCAAGTCAGGGGGGACCTGGCAACCCTAGACTGCTGCTAGGCCTAGGGTTGCCAACCTCCCAGTGGGACCTGGAGACCCCCCAGAATTGCAACTGGACTCTAGACAGCAGAGGCCTGTCTCCCAGGAGAAAATGGCTCCTTTGGAGGGTGGACTCTGTGGCATTATACCCAGCTGAAGCTTCTCCCTTCCCCAAACCCAGCCCTCCTTAGAGTCCACCACAAAATCTCTAGGAATTCCCCAGCCTGGCACTGGCAGCAACCCCTTTCAGGCCTGGCCCAAGGCTCCCTCCCTCAAAGGCCAAAATAGGAATGGAAAAGGCCCTTCCCCCCCCCTTTCACTGACAAAGCCAGTTAGAAGCCCCCCCCCCCCGAACGTTCTAATCTCCCACAAATGATGCCTGAAGTAGAGCTCTGTGGAGGCCATTTCAAAAGGTATTGAGGGAATTCAACTGTCCCTGGAGGGATTTTTTTACTTTTTGGATTTTTCTGCCAACCCAGGAAGTCTCCTGACTATGTAAGAAAAGCTATTGGGGGAGAGTGAGCCCTCTGTTGGTGGAAATAAGTATCTGCACAGAAATCAGACTGGCTATTAGCTATATAGGTGATGATGATATGATCAACAGGCACAAGAAATACATGCTAAAAAATTGCAAGTCTATTAATTTCCTAACGCTTCTTCTGATTGTCCTTTAAAATGATCTCTTTATATATTTATAACACCATATCTTGTCTTTGGGGCCTAGCTTTTAAAATGGTATTGTTATTCTGATACAACAAGCGGGAATACGAGGCAAAAAAAAAAGACATACTTACCTGCCCAGTGATTCATTACGAGTTCACATTGGGGGTGGTATTTCAGCCCTTGATCTCTAGATCCAAGTTCATCCAAGTCCATAATGCTATCCATGCTATTCTATCAGCCTATACGGAGATTTCACTTCCTCTACCCATTCTTATCTGTATAATTCTGTCTCAACTTTGGCTCCTTGGTCGTTCTAGATTCTGACAATGAGATGGAATCCAATGTTGTGCATTTTTTCCTGCTCTAGATGGTGGGGGCTGCTGCTCAGAGATATGATGCACTCTCCAGGGTGACTCTAGCCAGACCATTGACTTCCCTTGATCAGATAGGACAATAAAGAATTCAGGGGGGTGGGGGGGTAATGAGCATTTTAAATCTATGAGGCATGCCTGCTGATTATTACAGTTTTCAAATGAACATATTTTTGCAACCACTAAGTCTCACATTATACTGGACATAATTGTTTAATAATCTGCAGATGGCAGCCCTCAGTCTTACACACTCAAGAAACTTTAAATACAGAGGTCATGTGGAGCAATATTATATGGACCAGTGGTCTTTTGTTTCTGGAAGACATTGTGCAGATGGATGATGCACAACATTTTTTTGGTAGCCATGATATAATGACAAGAACATGCTCTCACTCCTCCTGCCACTTACGAATAAATTTTATTACATTTCTATTGGGAACAATAAACACTGACATGTGGGTACTCCTTATGAGCACTGTAAAAGCCATCTTTTTACATTATGGCTGAGCAAATTAGTTACTATCTCTCCTTATATATAATTGAGTAGTGGGGTGGCACTTTCTGAACATTCCACACACCCCTAAATCAGTTGGCTCCATGATGGCTCAGAAGCTGTCCCTATCCACTGGCTGCATTGCCTGAGTCCCGCCCACAGAAGTGGGGCCCGCCAAAACTTCCCTCCTCAGAAGACGGTTGCTTCACTCCAATGAACACAGCTACTGTCTTAGCTCTCCTCGCCAGATGATGATTGATTCCCTCAGAGGACAAAACCAACCATCTTTAGTCTCCAAGCCAAGTTTGCTGAGGCAACACTTTCCACAATGGAACCCCCCCACCACCAAGTAAACAGCTGTCAGCGTAGCAGAGGTGGGGGGGGGACCAGCCCAAGTTATCACATAAAAAGCCAGTGGATACACACAAACAGAGATAGAGGATGGGACCAGACACACAGAAAACAGGAAGTCAAAAACCCGAGAGATGCTGCAAAGCACAAATACAGACATACCAGCAGGCAGATCTACATTTGCAGACTGCCCAATTGTAGAAATTACTCCACAGAGCTCTGTGTGCTGCATTTTCTGGCCCACATTGTGTGACCTTGTGAAAAATATGGAATGAGAGACTTTACTTCCACATTTGTGCCTTTCTATTACATACTGCTAATATGTACTTAACCTACTTCCAGCCAATGCATTCCTTACACATGACATCTTTCTGGAGCTCATTGTATTGCTTTTACAACTAGCTTTACTGCTAGTTAAGAATAATTCCCTGTTACTTCATCCTTGCCAAAGGCCTTGATCATTAAGATCTTAAACATTTAGATTTGGGGGGGATGAGAGCAAAGATATACTATGTTGACAAAGGCTCAATGTATTAATCTTAAAATAATTTCTATTTGTGATAAGAAACTTGCAAAGTGTGTTATAGAGACAACGTAAGCACAATCCTGATGTCATAGAGGCATTTGAATGTTTAGGACAAAAGATATGCTTAGACATAATAGGTTCTATTAGCTTCAGAAGAGCTGTCTCAATTTAGGTCTATCGAATTATTCATCTGTCATGTCTTGAAGTTCAAATACGTTCAGTGCTTCTCTGAAAAAATTAGGTTCCTCCCCCTCTTCTTTTTTTTGCAAGAGAGAAGTTTGTATCTTTTTTTTTCTTCCCAAAGGCATGGCTCATAAATTACTGTGCCACTCTGTGTAACCATTCTAAATGGGATTTATACACTTCAGTGTATTTGTAAGAATATGTCTAGTAAGGGTTTTTATTATGCTGTCTTTACATGTCATCAGAGTAATAGCTGTTAGATTTTATTTATTGTTACATCTTGATGAAAATACTGGAACAACAACAAATAGCATAGGGTATGTCATTTTCTTATGAGAATGGATAGCAAGCTCAGACATGGCAACAGAATTATAATGGGTATATGACCAAGAGGTCTATGTTCAAGATATGGCTCTTCTCTTCAGCACCATAGACTCTACCCACCATCCTTCCTATTATTTATATTATCAGTGATTCTGGGACCAAGGAGAGGCAAATCAGGATCTTGCAAAGTGTCATTTTAACTTCTAATTTACCCACTGAATGTATGAATAAATTGGAGAATGGATTCATTGCCCAGGACACCTGATCACTGTCTCTCATATATTGTGTCTAAGGGGAGAACTAAACTTCAAGAAAACACCGGGTTTAAGCAAGCACAAGAGGTTGGGGACTACTTTTATTTGCTCCCTGGAATCTACACAATTATTCCAGCTACATCACAAGAAGGCCAAGAGTCTGAATTCCTTCTACGAATTTTCCAGAGAAATCAGAGCAATAACAGGTAAAGCTGTTGTGAATGTCATCTTAAATTAAAGAGGTCAAAGAGAATCCACTTTCCTAAATTCTGATGAAGTATCTTCCTAAGAAAAGACCTTCTGGGTATTCTCCAGAAATGACATCTCACCATCAGCAAAGTGCTGCTGTTTTGGTCATTTTCCTTTCCACTGCACCACCAGGGGAGGAAGATAATGAAGATGGAGCTTGGGAGGCCCCCCTATTGATAACCCTCATCTTTAAAGACTCTTCATCCTATTAATTATCTTCATTAAAGATCTTCCAGTTCACCAAGCCCCCTTCCTGAGAGTAAATCTTCTACTTACACTTTTTGTTTTATTAAATATATATATCCAACCGCTAAACCTAAGTGGCTTGTTACACTAATTTAAATCTAGCAAAATTCTAACAATAATTAAAAATAGTAATTAAAAGTAATTAAAAATCCATATAAACCAATGTGCAATAACAAAATAGCCTGTGATTAATTTCAAACCCATAAAGTAACCATAAATGGTGATGCCACGTGGTGTAGTGGATACTCAGTCTAGGACAGGAGAGAGCCAGGTTCAGATCCCCACCTAGTTGTGATGCTCATTGAGCCACTCACTGTCTTTCAGCCTAACATTTGTGGGGCTGAAACAGAGAAAGAAATAATCTTGGATTGTATGCTGAGCTCCTTGGAGAAAGAATGGGATGAAAATGTAATAGAAGGCGGGGAATGGAAATATGTGCTGTAAATTCTCCCTGAAATACTGGAACAATTTGTGGAGTCAGATTCTGGTTAATGTAGGAAGGAGTTCCACAATGAGGCTCAATGTGTCTGTTTGTTACAATGAAGGGATAGAGCTCTTATTGCAGTTATTGTGACAACAATAATCTGATTTCATTGGTGGGAAATTTTGGATGTACTGCTGATTTGCTTGTGAGGGTTGATAGCCCAGCACCGGCAACCCCCCCCCCCCCGATGGGCGGGAGTTGTGACAAACGGTGTTGTGCAAATGTCACAACATCACTTCCAGCACAAAGCCAGAAGTGACATCACTATCACAATGTAGGGTTCACCCAAGACTCTGTGGTAAAACCAACCACCTCCCCATTTTGTTCCCACTGCTCCTCCAAGCAGCAGTGGGAGCAGTGGGGCCTGCAGTGGGTGGAGACCTGGCAAGCCTGGTTGACTTGATTCCACTGAAAAAGGTCAGGACTTAGAAACCCTGGTTTTATTACACCTTATTTGAGTTTAAATAGCAAACAAAGGTGCTGAACAGAGAAGAAACACATCGTTATAAATGAACAGTCGTAAGCCAAAAACTTCTATGAACACCCATTAATTCTCTCTCACCAATTTGAAGAAAAGACAAGTGTTAAATGTTTGGAGAGTGTTGTGAACTTTATAAATGCATGTGTCTGATGTGATAGAATGGATTATGAAAAAGTCACACTTAAGAGACACATCATATATGCAAACTGAATAAAATATAAGTAGCATTGTGATATCCAGGATCCTTTAATATTTAGCAGCTTTCATTGGTAAACATATTTATTGGCTATTTCTGTACTTGTCTCTGTGTTTATCCTGTTGCCACTAATCTGAGTTTAGGTCCAACTAGGGTTTTTCCAGGCTCTTGCTTATAGTGGGGCATCTCGAGGCTAGGCCCCCTGACTCACTGGTAAGGCCCCCTGACTTCCCATCCAGCCCAGGGCCCCCAAGTGGCGGCAGGCACAGGGAAGAGTCGGGTATTCCTTTAATTCGATTAGCCAGTGCCCCCTAAGCAATTTAAATGCCCCCTGACTTGCTACAGGCCTGGATATTTCCATTAGTCAACTTGTCTAAGGGTGATCAACTGACCAAAAGAAATTATTAGTTGCTTATATTCACTTGATAATGACAACAGTAAAGAACATCTTTGGACCCAGCTGAATTGGCTAACTATCGGCCGGTCTCAAATTTGCCCTATTTGGGCAAATACACTAGAGATTGGTGGTGATTCAGTTGCAGAGCTTTATGGATGACACTTCCATGCTAGACCCTTTCCAGTCTGGTTTCTGTCCGGGCCATGGGATGGAGACAGCATTGGTTACCCTCACAGATGACCTCTGGAGGCACCTGGATCCGGGCAGCATGGTGGTACTGTTGTTGTTAGACCTGTCAGCGGTGTTTGACACAGTCGACCATCAGTTACTGATCCACCACCTCACTGACACAGGGATACAGGGGTTTGCCTTGCAATGGCTTGTTTCCTTTCTCCAAGGTCGGGGACAGAGGGTGGCACTAGGAGAGCAGATGTCTCAGAGGCACGCACTGATTTGCAGGATCCCCCAAAGGGCGGTGCTATCCCCAATGTTATTTAACATCTACGTGCACCCCTTGCCCAGATTGCCTGAAGGCATAGGCTAGCGGACAACACCCAGCTATATCTGTTGTTGACTCTACCTCAGAGGACCTGGATCGGGCACTTTAGGACATGGTGGGCTGGCTGAGACTGAGCCGATTGAAATTGAATCCAATGAAGATGGAGGTCCTGTGCCTGAGTCGGAGCGGGTTGGGGTTAGGGATTCCATTACCGACCTTTGATGGGGCACCGCTGGTGCCAGCACCGAGGGTCAGGAGTTTGGGAGTGCTCCCGGATGCCACCTTAACAATGGGGCCCAGGTAGCAGCCACTGCCAAGGTAGCCTTTTACCATCTATGGCTGATTAGGCAGTTGGTTCCCTTCCTCAAACACAATGACCTGGCAGTGGTGATCCATGCAGTGGTCACCTTGAGATTGGACTACTGCAACACTCTCTTCCGATCTCTGCCCTTGTCCCAAATCCGGAAGCTGCAGCTGGTGCAAAATGCAGCAGCCAGGCTGCTGATGGGTCTCTCTATACGAAAGCACATCACGCCTGTGCTGAAGGCACTGCACTGGCTGCCAATAGCATACCGGATTTGCTTCAAGGTGCTGGTTTTGATCTTTAAAGTCCTATATGGTTGGGGGCCTGCCTACTTGAGGGGCCGCCTTTCCCCACATGTCCCCCAGAGAGCACTGAAGTCAGGGACCCAAAATCGCCTGACTGTCCCTGGTCTAAAAGATGTTAAACTGGCAGTCACCAGGGCCTTCTCAGTGGCAGCTCCATACTGGTGGGATGAGCTCCCGGAAGACACCAGGGCCCTGTGGGACCTATCACAGTTCCACAGGGCCTGTAAATGTAGCTCTTCCACCAGGCCTTTGATTAGGAGCCACCACTGAGGAATGAGCACTGGAAATCAAACCAGCATGGCCATTAAGCTATGTTACAGACAAAAAGATGACTGGACACCGGCCTACCTATATCGGCCCTCTTCAGCAAATGCCATCTGCACTAATTGCACTTATGTATATTACGGTTTGAAATTTTATTGTTATGTATTTATGTATTGTGTTTTATCGTATTTTAGTCTATGTACGCCGCCTTGAGCCTGCACGCACAGGCAAGGCGGGATATAAATCTAAAATAATAAATTAATAAATAATAACATTTGCTCTGTCCTCATGCAGTTTACTCTTGTTTCCCTTAGGGAACCAAATACTAAACTCAATCCAATGGTGCCAAAGGTATGTAAATATAAGAAGAGATTTAATCATTACACATATGGGCATGGATGGATTAATGCATGAATTATGGAGTCAATCCAATCTGACCCTACCTGAGAGCAATTTCACATAGATAGCCGGCAATCATACCTAAGATCAGAAAAGTCTCCTTGTTCTTACAGCTGTGTGGAGAACAAAAGGATATCAGATATGACCTCAGTTATTCTAGTGCAGCGACAATAACAAAAGAAACCGCTCTACTTAATTTCCTAAACTCAGACCCTCATGCTTGCCATAGCATCAGCCCTGGAAATCATAAGTGCATGAGGACACCACGGTTCATACTCCAGTCAAGCACAGCCCTCCACATTTACCAGGATCCAGAAAGCACTGAAAATAGATGTCAGGGCTCAGCCACTCCTGCCAACAAGCCCTTAAAGGCACAGGAAAATATGCCATAATGCTGGTCTTTGGCCACTTTCCCAGTCTAAATATGGAACATGTTCTGCCATTCTTTCCTCTTGCTGAAATTTTGCCCTCTTGTTCAGTTGCAATGAATATACTCAAAGAGTCCCAGACTATGTGCTGAGCATTCGATATCCATTTGTAATACTTGGTTTCCATGAAGAGCCGTAGTACTCTCACTGAGCTGCTCTGAAAAAGACCATGCCTGGAGCTCCTTTTCTGAATTTACGGGATTTAAAACTAATGTCCAGGGCAATACTATAAATTTATCCCAAAGGCAAATCTTGTCATCATCTTCAGAAATGTAAAAACTTCATTGGAGATCCAGAGAGAATAAAAGTAAAACTACTACTGGTTAAGGACAAAACCAGGGATGTAAAACTGTTTTAAACTACTTCCAATAAACATTCAGTGGAAATCACACAAAGAGTCTTTCCAAGAAGCAAAATTTAGCTAAGCTAAATTTAAAGTTCCTTAGGTTTCAATGGGAGAAACATGATCAGATCTCTTCCATTAAAATCTCTTAAGTGCATTTAGATTCATCATGCCTATAATTGACTGAGGACGCCTAAGGGAACTGCACCAACCCAATGAATATTAATTGACTTACAGTTTCCTAGTGCATCTTGAACCAAACCAAAATGGTCCTCTATGACTGGTCTTTTAATGATAATGACATAACTGTTTCAGTTTCTTACAGTATTCATTTTGCTTTAATTTAAATGTGCTGTACTCCTAATCTCTTCAATTAGCTGTCTAGGACAATGTTTAAACACCTTTAAAGCTATTAAAATCCACCGTGACACAGTAAATGTGGGGTGAGTTCTGAATTGGATGTGTGATAAAGAAACCTCACGACTGCTTCACAATGTGATGAACTCCAGAGAATTCCATTCCAATCTATATTCTCAACATGCTAGCTGTACTAATTGGGCAAATTATCAGATGATCCCCTCCTGAGAAAAGACCCGGGGAAAAACAGTGCCAGTGCAGTTTCCCCCAGCACTAGGCCATGTTGCCCAGTTTAGCTTCCATTTGTGCATCAGCTAAAATTTATCTCCAGAACTGCTACTGTAAATAGTACACACACACCCCTTTGTCCTCCTCCTCTCACTCTTTTTTTGGGGGGGGGGTATTTTTAATTCAGTGTTACAGACACATTTGATTCTCTATATCTAGCTAGATGATTGATAGATGATAGATAGATAGATAGATAGATAGATAGATAGATATAAATAGATATTTTCAGTTGAATGCTTTTGTTTCTCATTTTTCTACAAGAACAAATGGGCATCCTGACACTGGGTTCCCCACTGAGGCGTTTGCAGACTTCCTCCAGCCTAAAGAGACTTCTGCCAGCTTGAATGTCTCTTCCTCCGATAGAAGAGCCACTTAAGGTAGAGTAAGGGTCCATAGGCTGGAGGAAGGTTGGATCTGTAACCACTAGTTCCACCCAACAACGTTTTTTTCTGTGCATATCTCCTGGGCATCCTACACAGGATGCTTACCTGATGCCTTCAGATCATGGCATGAAACTTTTTTATCTTCTCCTTCCCCTCTCCCTTCTGCTTTTTGTTTTTAAACTTCCAGCCTCATGGAAAGATCAGGATAATTCTAAAGATTGCACACTGCTTTGTGTTATTTTGGTTGATCTTAATAAAGGGTATTCCATGGCTTCTGTTTTTGGATTTTACATTGGACCAGGGCAGCTACCTGCTACCTTGCTCAGTTGAGGAGGGTCTTTGCATGTCTCCTGTAACTGCCTACTCTTCCCTTCCTTGGTAGGTTCTACTTTCTTCCTTTTGTCTCCCCCCCCCCCTTTGCTTTGGTGACATTTGGCATGTTCTCCAAGGGTATGACTACCAATTGTACTCATCCTTGAAACTTTGTTGAAATAGAGTCCTGCTGTTCCACAAAACCTCCACAGAATAATACCTTTTCTTCTCATTGTTCTTTGCCTGATAGAGAGCAGCCTGCACAAGTAAATGACTTGGTTAATCAGGACTTTGGAAGTATGGAAATGCAGTTTTCAGTCACCTAAATTAACACAGGACAACAGGAAGAAACTTCAGTTCAGTGTAATCAGAGGACATAATTGATAATTGAGAATCACATTTCTTATTGCTTGTAGGTTTTTCAGGATACAACTAGTTCCTTTATGTGCGCAAGTGCTGGCACTTGGAAATTGCTAGACATGTCTCTGGGCCATGGGAATAATATGATGTCTCAGAATGATTTTTGTGACTTGTTTTTGTACTTGTACCTTTTCTTTGATCCAGGAAATGCCCAGGTGGAATCAAGACAACTCTTATGAAGAAGTCTTCCGAAGATATGCTAATCAGGTATGTTGAATGAAAAAAAACCCTGTGTACTCTAACAAGACATGCAGAATTGCGAAATAAGTGTCTTGCTTTGCTAGGCTTAGAAAATGCAGATCTCAAGTGGGTATCTCAAAACTCTATTGATTTGCTAGCCAGCCGCTATAACAAAGAGGCAAGGGACCTTGCTAGAATATAATAGATGGCTCTAAACTGATTGCCTGCAGGAAGAAAGGTGTTCCTTAAACAAGCAATTAGCAGTAACCCTTGGCTACAAATATACCTGGGTATGTATATCATATTTTACTCTGATCAGAATTACTTTCAGTTTGCACTTGCTGCGTTTGGAAAGCAGACATCAGTCAATGTTTGGGTAATTGATTCCCATTCTTTCTGAGTCGAGCTGCATGTGTTCACAGGAGATGCTCTTAATGGCTTAATAAACTGTTATAAAGGACTCCTTGACTTAGTCAAGAGAAAAATTGCTGCCAAAAGCCTCTGCACAATAGACCTCTCACAGCTAATAGTTATATCAACGCATAAAAGGTGGAAATGACACTGCCTACTGCGAATAATGCACAAGGTTTGTCTCCGAGAGCACTGAGGGCAAGGAAGGAAGATTTTACATGGCTCATGAGTCAGGCAACGGCAAGCTGCAGGGGCAATGGGCCGGATTCTCAGTTCTCTGATGCCACTGTCTAATGGATGGCAAAGCAGCAGAAGTGCAACACAGCTGCTGTGACTCCAGATGATCCCGTGAGCGGATAGCAAAAGACCAGCGGAGACGGCTGCCATCTCATGCCTAATGTCTTCTGTTGCCAGTTCTGTACGATTAAAAAGGAAAACAGACTTCAAGGTGTAGAGGCAGTATAAGAGCAGCTCTGGGAGTAAGAGAATCATTGCAGTTATAGTGTGAAAAGGTTGGATTGTATAACAAATCTGACATTTATTTACAAATTGGTTAATAAGGCTCTTTTTTAAAAAAAAATCTTCAGTGAATGCTTAAACTTTGGTGGCTGTTAATAATAATATGAATAATAATGCTTAACATTTGTGTAGTGGTTTCAGTGTTCAAAGCACTTCCCATTAGGGATTCTTGAACACCCTCTGGTTCAGCTCATGCTCTGCATGCCAGTTACAAACAAAGGGCCTATTTTTAATTGATCCTGCAACTGTTTGCAAGCAGATCAGCGAGCCAGCCAGCGAATATAACCAAACGTTCCTCTTTTAATAAAAAAAATTCTTACTATTTGAGATTTCACTTACTGAGGCTATTTTCCACGTGTATTTTTGCACAGCCTTATGGGAGTCATAGTTCCATTCCCATGTCCTTTAATTACTTGACCCAATTGTCTATGGGGAGACTCAACTTCACTGATTTCTCAGATACAAAAAGCAAGGCAGGGAAATGAAACTTCACCATCACAGCTACTATTTAGCTACAAAGCTGTTCAATAGCTGTTTGACTTGGACAGCAGCAAATCAAACAAATCTGAGGCTCAGCTTGTAGGTGATTGCAGCTGTCAAACATGTTCCCTGAGAAGTCTGCAGCATCCCTACTTCAAGTACATTATCAAAGAAATTCTGACGCCCGGTAAGGTAGGCCAGTGTTACCACCTTTTTTGCCATCAGGCCAAAGGACACCTTAGAGTGTGAGATTACATTTGAACCCACCCCTGTTGCTAGATATTTTTGTGGGGGGGGCAAGAGGGGGTACAGTGGCTAATTTAATTAACTGAATTAAATTAAATTAAATTAAATAGCAGAGCTAATTGCCTGCTACAGCCAGTAGCTTTGTTTGGCTTCTCTGGGGCTTCATGTGGAGTGAATCTTTGAACACAGAGGCGGCCGAGGTCAATCGTGGCTCCGAAACCCTTGCTGTAGTCATGAAATCTGAGTGGGAGGGACAGGGCCACTGCAACAAGTGACTACTGACTGCAGGAAAGAGAGCAACACCACCCTGGGAGCAACCACCACGTGCAATTGGAGACAATCCCCAGGCTCACAGCCAGACCTTCCCCTTCACAGCCAGATCCCCCCTTCCTTCCCCCTCTGGCTGTTGTTTCATCCCTCCTCACCACCCTATCCTTGCCTGCCTGCCTGCCTGCCTGGTCTCTTTGTCCTCCCCTCCCCTCCGTTCCCTGCAACTCGATCATCACAAGAGTCACATACAGGGAAGTCAGAGTCACCAAAGGAAGTGATGAAAACCTGCAAAGCCCTATCAGGGGGAAGAGGAGCGAGGCTGGCCCTGGCTCAGGTCATGCTGTAGGCCAGGCCTTTTGCATGTGTTGGGGCTGGGGGCAGAGCCAGTAGAGCCGGTGCCGGGCACACACGCCTTCCCCGTCCGCTCTTGTTCAGCTGGCTAGCCACTTTCACCACTGCCCTCCCAGCCAGCAGCCCCAGGCCCCCTTTGCCTCAGGGAAGATTTGGGGGCAGGGCAGATTTGAGAGGGGTGTCACCCCCAGCACCCCAGGAGCTATGGGCCTGTTTGAACCAGTAATTTTCCATATCTCAGCTCATTCTCTCTACCACTACACTCCAGCTGAGAGGAACACGTAACAAAGGATGTGAAAGATGTCTGCCCTGTGACCCTGGAGAGTCATTGCCTGTCTGAGTAAACAGTACTGACCATGATGGAACAATCGTCTGATTCAGTATAACGTAGCTTCCTGTGTGTACTTTATTAGACATATGTCAAAGAGTTCTGACAAATACTGCCCACACACTCACTGCTGTATCTCTAGGCTCTTGGACATTCACAAAATTCATCAAGGGTTATCATTCCCATGTGCATGTCACTCAATTTGGGATGCGCACTGTAATATTATAAAAGCATAAACCTGAAATGTAGCAAAATGCAAATCCATGTAAGATGCAAAAAGGGCTTTGATCCACAGCAAAATCTAATTCTTGGTTGTAATTAGGAAAAAAGCCCTCAAAATAAAGAAGCAAAACCTTTTGATCCACAGCAAAATCTAATTCTTGGCTGTTGTAATTAGGGGGAAAGCCTTCAAAATAAAGAAGCAAACCTTAATCCTAAGGCAGGATCTCAGTGCTACAATAACAGAAAAATGATGTGCAGCCAAGGGGAACAGGGGTCAAATGTGTATTAACCAACTGACATGCATAACACTTTTAGATATGAGCAGACAGCCTGATGTCTTTCCCAAATGTCCCATGCTTGATATGGCTATTTTCACCATTCAGGTCATGAGGGAGCGAGCTCATTCAACCAGTCACTGTATGAGCTTTCTTCTTCTTAATAACTGTTTTTTGGGGGGACTGGAATAGCCACTGTAATCTACTTGTTAAGTTTTAGCTAGTAAAGCCAGCTCATTCTATGTCTCTATAATATGCAATCAGCGAAAGAATGTTAAAAATGAGATAAGAGGTGTTTGGGTTTTTTTTTTTTTAAGTACTAAATTAATAAATAGATGTAAGAAAAGCAGCAATGTATTCAGTTTAACACAGCATCAGAGTGAAGACAGCTGCATTATGTACCCTACTGACATTTATTACCAGTTATCGTTCTTACGTACCTTCCTAATGTTCTTGCTGGAACAGCAGAAAGAGCTTCTGTTGAGAATCACCAAGTAACAAGAGCAGCAAACAAACGTAAATGTGTAGAGATAAGAGAGAGCGAGATTCCTTTCTTTGGCAAAGTTTGCAAATCTATCAGCGTGAGTGAATGTTATTCACACAGAGGGAAAGCCAAGAGCAGGATTGGGGCCAATGAGAGAAATAAGACGAATGAAGCACAATCTATTGGGAAATTTCTCTTGTGTAAGATGCCCTGAAATGAATGGAAGATCCAAGGGAAAGTGACAGAAAAAGAAACCCGTTTGCTTCAGTGGCAACAAGAAAAGTTTCCCTGGACTGTGCTCTGTCTGTCTAGAACATTTTTATCCCCAATTTTTTCCACAGGGTTCCGAGAGGCATATATGATCTTCCCTTCCCCATTTTCCCCTCAAAACAACCAAGGTTACCCAGCAAGCTTACTGGTAGTAGGGTGACCCAGGTCTCCCAGAACGTAGTTTAAATGTCTATGAAATCCATTGTAGTGGCTTATATCACTTATAAGCACTTTTCTTATATTCTCTATTAGAGTTCCTACTTGGATGCTTCACAATTGCAAAGGATCCTTAATGATGTATTCCTGAAAGGTAAAGTTCATTTTTATGGTCAGATATGATTTTTGAAGTTCTCTTTTCCTCAGTCCAGTGTCCTAGTTGTCCACTAATTTTTAACGGGGACTGTATTTTGAACTGAGCAAAAGTTGAAGGGCAAGTAAAAGTAGCCATATCAAGCCAGTCACTACTCCATGGAAGCCAAGATACAAGACCAAACCAGAAACACCATCAGCAGGCTGATCTTTAACATGTGTCGTAAAGCAGAGGATGGAGAATCGATTTTGAAATGGAAAAGAGACAAACAGATAAAAGGACGCTAAACCTTTCGTGTACACTGCTTAACTTTCTATAACTCCTCATTCTCCCAGGTTTGTTTCTCTTAGCTAGGCTCATATCTAATATTGTAGCCCAAAGTGAGAAAAATGGCCCTTGAAAGACAGACTGAGTGCCATTTACAAACCATTTGGCTGATGCCTGTACATGTAATCATTAGCTTATAGACCCATGGAAAGCTGTTACATAGTGACCGAATTTAAACATTATGCTGGCCAAGTAGAACCCCGTAAAGTTTTTTTTAGCACCAAGCACGGACCTAAGACTTGGTGACACTCTATTAAAAACTGGTTTGCTTAATAAGGAGAGGTGTTCCTGGAATTTGGGTTACTCTGAGGGGGAGGTAGGTTTGCCAGTTGCCTCTCCCTGGTTTAGAATATAATACCTATGAGAGTTTTGAAAACATAAACTTTTTCATGTAAGGCATAACATTGTACCTGTTTTTCATTGTTACAAAGACTTCAGAATGCATGTGGGTTGTGAGATGTCAACTTCTCTGCTACCCTACTTTAGCAGAAGCTTGTTATCATTCACACCATAGATGGAGAGTGGGAGCATTATACCATAATCCTTTACAGCCAGTTCATTCAACAAGTTGCTGCAGAGTATAAGGCAATTTGCAAATACTGAGTTGGCACCCCAGTACTGTGAATGGAGCAAGATCGTGGGAAAAGACCTTTGTTCATTCCCACTGCAGATCCTTGTACATTCACCTCTTTTAAAAAGCTACTCATGAGGGAATGATGTGGAGTGTAGTTTGGGGGCTGCAGTAGGAAGAGATAATCAGTAGAACCAGCACCTCACTCTGCTATGAACTTTTCCTCTAGCCATTGAATTTTTGCTTACGATCCATTCCTACTGCGATTTTCCTGCCCCACATCCTATACTGTTCTTGAAGGATCCCTGATCTTCAGGAGCAGCTTGGGGGGGGGGGCATGGTGAAAAGTACTGGGTTCACCGCATGGAGGACTCGGACAACGACATGCGTTTGCACACGTTTATTGTACTTAACACTGGAACTACAGAACGGCCCTGCAAGGCCAACTATATACACAACCACCCAGCACACCCACAGTCCCATTGGAGGGTTTGAATTTCCCGCCAAAGTTCCTATTAGTTCATGCTGGGGGGAACTAGGATCCTAAGTTCTTATTGTCTGGAGGAGCTAAGCTCTTGACTGTAGCCGCGGACCCCTGGTGGCAGTCCACATACATAACACATGGGACTGCTGTGGGAAAGGGGAGTGGGCAAAGTGACATTCCACAAATTTGTTCTGTTCACTGTGCATAGGTTCCAACCCTCCTGGATTATTCCTCTAAATGTATGGTGCAGGACCGCTGAGAGGTACCATAGCTCCTAGACAAAGATCCAATTCAGCCTCAGCACAACATATAAAAGCAAACTGCATGGCTTCCGTGGCTCCACGTACCTTCAAGTAACCCTGACACAAGCAAATTGAGCCCCAATGTTTGGTGCTTCTTCAGTTACCTCAAATGCACGTAGAATGGTTCCTGTGATAGGTAACATCCTGTGTAAAAAAAATTTCATGTTAAGCAAATTAGCATATGCATTCGATTTGGTCCATTTCTTATGTGATGTTTTGTATTTGGGCACAGACTCAAAGTACAAAATACATCCTGGTAACAAGTGCATTTAAAAACAGGGTTAAATCCTTTCCCCCGTTAGTCCCCTCTTCCTTTTGCAAAATATTGATTGTGAAGCAGCCCGCAGTGGAGGTCTCCCATTTCCAAAAACTTGGGGTTAAAAGCAAGTCATTCTGCCACTGCTACCCCCCTTAACCTCCTTATTCTTTGTGTCTTTTGCCTTCTGATTTATCCATTTATAGATCTAATGGCCAGTCTGGGAAGCGGAGATAGATTCAGCTTCGATTCATGCAGGAGCCTTTTAGCTCTGATGGATGTATCTTTTCAGCAAATGCAATAAACCTCCCTTATGCTGCCCTTCCTTGCTTTGAGTTATGGCTGTGCTGAGCTTCCCTTTGCAAGAGCTTTGTGAGTAAATATTTGCCATAAGATCTGCCCACTACATATGTGGGGAATCTATAAACTGCCATGCTCTCCTCTCTGCGGACCACTTCTATCAGATATTGGGGGAAGGGGAAGTGTCTTCAGAATGTCAGCCCACTCTGCTAACTGGGTTGCCAACCTCCAGGTAGGGCCTGGCATTCTCAGAGAATTACATCTGCTATCCAGATTACAATGATGGCCTCTGCTGGAAGAAATAGCAGTTTTGAAGGGTGGACCCCATGGCATCACAACCCCACTGAGCCCCTGCCTTTACCCACACTTCATCTTCCCCAGGAACCACCTGCAAATCTCCAGGAATTTCCTCACCCTCAGTTGGCAACCCTACTGCAAACTATTCACTGCCAGGGCCTACCTAGGGTGCAGACCATATTCATTTCAGTCTCCACTTTTTCCATCCAAGGAAACCTTATACCACATGGGAAAGCATACAAATTTGAACACTGTCTATAGTCACAGTTCATTTCTCAAATAAGGTCACTCTGTCTTCATAGAAATGCATTTTGTTGTTGTTCAGTCGCACAGTCGAGTCCGACTCTTCGCGGCCCCATGGAACAGATCACGCCAGGCCTTCCTGTCTTCCGCCGTCCTCTGAAGTTTATGTTTAGTTTCAAGTTAGGTTCCCCACCCCTCTGTGGATCAATGAAAGAAAATAAAAATAATGGATAGTAATAGCACTAGAATACTTTTCAGGACTGCCTTCCTATATTGCCTTTTCCCCCTCCATACATGTGAATGTGAACAAACATAGAGCAAACTACGCTTTCAAGTATCTTCTTTTGTAGAGTCTTGACTGTTCCGATTGCAGGTGCGGGGTGGGCAAATCCCATGTTTGAAAGCTCCCAGATGCCCTGCCTGTGAAAAGCAAATTTGTCAGGCAGAAAGATCCCAGCCAGGCTTTTCCTCTAATGTGCTTGTTTCTATGTGCAGGGGATATTTTGTTTTTAATGTGAGGAAATGTTCAAACATGCAACTCTCCACCTGCAGTCTGAAGAATTACTGTCCCTGCCATATCATATAACTAAATGTGTCATTGCATTCTTTGGGACCAAGAGGTTAGAGCTAAGGAGGCACATCAAAGGGCACTTCAGTTTAGGACAGCTGTCCACTATCAGCCCAAGTGCACTATCAGTCCACTATCAGCATATATTTGTGTACTGAACTGAATTAAAGCTTGTTTAAAACTTGACTACACATTCAGTTCAAGGCTAATGGAAGACTCATACTGCAAGAGTTTGAACCACTGTGGAGGTATCTCAACAAGTACAAGGTCTGTGTGAGCTTATACATTCAAATTCTCAGTTGGTCTGTTCTTCTGTTTCATACTGTTAAATAGTTAATGATCTTGAGTTCCTGAATGGAGCTTATTACAGAAAAGAAATTCCAAATACAGAGGCTGGGGGTGGGTGGAGGGATAGGTACTCTATGATCATTCATAAAAACAATAATTGAATCTAGAAATTTCCACTTTTAAACCAAGCATAAATATTTTCTAGGAGATTTTTAAAAAGGAAGATGAAAATAATTCTGGATTCCTGGAGATTTCCAGCTTGAGAAGAGTAATGCAGATGGCAGGTATGCTAACTTACTTTGGACATAGTTTCAGTTTTCAATTTAATTGTGAAATGTGGTACATTTTCATGAGAAAGCTTCTAAAAGAAATTTAAACTGTCCTCAGAGATCATTTTAGGTCAATGTTAAGGTGACATGAGAATGAACTAGCCTTTTCTCCATGTTCATGGGCATCCCTCATTCCTCCTCTCCTCCAGAATCCTGATTGCAAACTAACTCCACTTACCCATAATGTATGAATGTAAGCACAGGAGTTAAACTGTGTTAATCCTCCTCATACATACATATTTCGGATGGTAAAACTGGATTAATTCCTGTTTGTGAGAGGCAAACTAGCTCCACATAACCCACCCACCTGCATTTTTACATCACAGATTAACGTAATGAGGTTATAACTGGGATTCTTTGTGGAGGAGAAGTGAAGTACACACAAGAAGCCAGGTTCATACACATGTCAGTTTTAATGTTGACTTAGAGTACAGTCTGAATGCAACATTAATTGGTTGGAGCTTTACCTGCCATGGAAATAAGTAATGGGAAAAGCATATGAGGACCAGTATCCTCCCTGCCCTTGAAATCAAGCAACATTTGGTCATAGATCATTTTTTTTAAAATTATAAATCCATTAGTTTTGTTTCTGGGCTCCTTAGATTTTCAGCAGAATTATGAGGGATGATCCCATGGAAGTGAATTTAACCCCCCCCCCCAAACCTTATACTTCATACTAGACTTGTGTGTTTCTTTCATAATTAATCACAATAATCACAAAAATCGGATGTTTTGCGATTAATGTGAAAATGAAACAGATCTGCCATGTAAACAGCCTACAGTGAAAAAAGCCCATGCTTTTATTTCTTTTTGTTCTCTTTCTTTTGTTATTGTAGTCTTGCCTCTCTCTGACTCTACTGATTCCACTTTTGCAAGGCAGCCAATGTCTTCCTAATAAGGGCATAAGCTGCTTTCCGGGAGGGGGGGGCCGGCAGAGAGGATCTGGGCTTTCTTGATTGACTGCAAGCTGTAGCCAGTAGGATTACATATCTGTTTGTGGTATTCCAGTCCTCAGGGCTTTTTTTGTAGAAAAAGCCCAGCAGGAACTCATTAGCATAATAGGCCACATCCAACAGCAGACACTCATTAGCATATTAGGCCACACCCTTGACAGCACAGCACATTAGCATACTAGGCCACACCCCCATGTTACTAGAAGTGTGGCCATCCAGCCACACCCACATTTTGCTTCTTATTCTGTTTACCTTGTGGTCAAAACCCAGAGGGTTTTTTTGTAGCAGGAACTCATTTGCATGTTATACCACACATCCCTAATGTAGCCAATTCTAATGAGTTTCTGCTGTTGGGTGTGGCCTATTATGCTAATGAGTTCCTGCTGGGCGTGGCCAACTCAGGAGCCAGCCGGAACTCCGTTCCTGTGCGTTCCTGCCCAAAAATAGCCCTGCCGGTCCTGAAGGATATGGGGGTAGGACATGTCTTCCTCTGTCCTTCCAATGCTTGCACTGTTGTACCAAATTTCTCCTTAGGGTCTGTACTCCTCTGCTGCTCTCCAAACCTTGTCCCTTGTTCAAGCAAATCTATTTCCAGGTCCTCCACTGCCTACTTGCCCAGATGCTTTGCCCTCTTTGTGTAAACAAATGCCTTTGCCTTGCCAGTCTGCCTCTTCCTCATGCTACTGTCCTTCAGGCTGAGTAGCTGCAATGCCAGATTCCTTCAATGAACACTTCTGTCTGTGTTACTGTGTATTTGGATTTCCCCCCCTATTAATTATCTCACAGACTTTAATGGTAAACATGAGTGCATTTCATTACCTCTGATTTTATCTGTCTGAAATTTGGGACTATGTCTGTCCTAAGGGAGTTCTAAAATACCTCTATGTTCTGTCCAGTTTGGATAGAAAACCGAGAACGTACAGACCCAATAAGGGGAAGGAGGGGTCCCCTATTGAAACCAATGAGGAATAATAAAATAGAATTATGAAAACGAAACAGCAATAACAAAACAAATAAAAATGAAATGAAACCATATGAAACCGCCCAATAATGAAACAGTCTCTTTTGGAATTCATTAAAAAAAATGAAAGAAACAAAGCAAACTGCCATGCACAAGTCTAGTTCATACTGACATCTGCTGAGCAAATCTGGAATTGGAAGCTCTCTCCCTCCCCACCCCCAGTCCTCAACCAATTGTTTTTCCTCATTGAATATTCTCCTGTGTGCATTTATATATGCAGCCTTTCGTGTTGTACAGAGGAAGCTGCCGTCCAATAATGCTACCTTAGAGATGAGCCTTTTAGATGGTTAAATGGCTGTTTAAGCTGCGCTAAGATATTATTTTTTGTTCTCCTCTGTGAAGATTGGAAAAGTCAAAGAAAAGGTGTAATCAAATCACAGTCTCAAGCTTAGTATAGTCATTGGGGGCAGAGGAAGAGAGCAGAGGTTCTAAGGCCCCTGCAGACAAGACGTCCTGATGGGCGTTTGGAGGCAAAGGAAGGGAAGATGCTCTGACTACTCCTACCTGGAATTTATCACTAACATGCTGTATCAGGGAAGATGCAAGACAGATATTGTGATAATAAAGGCAATAAAGTGTAACATTGGAAAGGAAATTGCTTGCTGTGCAGACTTTAAAGGCAAAACAAACAAATATCACAAGCACTGAGCTGAAGGTGTGTATGTAATATGAATACTGCACAGTCAGCTTCTCTTACTACACTAGCAGAAACTTAGCAGAATGTGTAATGCGTAATGCACACAACACTGTTCACCAGCCTCCTCCCTCATTATGGTAGCTAGTTTGTAACTCTTTCAAATGAATTCCCTGCATATGAATCAGGCAGATTTCCAGCCCAGTTACTGATAATTGGATGTCAAGTGTGTTGCAAATACCTGCTGCTTTCCTAGAGTCTGTGTGCTTTCTTGCTCTCACCTGTATCATTGATTATTTATAAAACAGTCCTCAGGCTAGAAGCAGACCATAAAAACAGCTTTAAAAAGATGGAACCCCCTCAGTTAAAAAACCAGGGTAAAAGAGGAATGTTTTTGCCTGGCACCTAAAGGACAATAAAGTGTGTGAGCCGGGGGGGGGGGGGGGTTTCCCACAAGGGGGGGCATTCCAAAAATGAAAACGCTTCATCTCTGGCCGCCACTCATTGTACCTCTGCAGAAAGGGGGTCAGAGAGTAGGGCTTGGGACTGGTGGGGTGTGCGTACACACAAGAAGGGCCATTCCATTACTTTGTTCCACCAAGTGGCCACCGTACATCATCTAAGATCTTGCTGAGACATTGCAAGGGATTCACCATAAAAACAGCTTTAAAAAGATGGAACCCCCTCAGTTAAAAAACCAGGATTAAAGAGGAATGTTTTTGTCTGGCACCTAAAGGACAATAAAGTGTGAGAGCCTTGGGGGGGGGGGGGTTCAAGTGTGTTGCAAATACCTGCTGCTTTCCTAGAGTCTGTGTGCTTTCTTGCTCTCACCTGTATCATTGATTATTTATAAAACAGTCCTGAGGCTAGAAGCAGACCATAAAAACAGCTTTAAAAAGATGGAACCCCCTCAGTTAAAAAACCAGGATTAAAGAGGAATGTTTTTGTCTGGCACCTAAAGGACAATAAAGTGTGAGAGCCTTGGGGGGGGGGGGATTCAAAAAATGAAAATGCCTCATCTCTGGCCGCCACTCATTGTGCCTTTGCAGAAAGGGGGTCAGAGAGTAGGGCTTGGGACTGGTGGGGTGTGCATACACACAAGAAGGGCCACTCCATTCCTTTGTTCCACCAAGTGGCCGCAGTACATCATCTAAGATCTTGCAGAGACATTGCAAAGGATTCTGGGACCTATCCCTTAGACTGCATAGTGCATACTGCTTCACTGATGACCCCAAGATATTGGGATGGCTCTGCAGTTAAGCCAGCGCCGTGCAGAGAAAACCGTTGTCTTCAATGATGGTTTGTTCTGACCCAGGAGGCACATATATCTTCTGGTGGGGTGGCAAGCACTGCTTTGATTGTCAGTGGGAATTAAATAGGATAATCTGATTCTCCCACCTTCCTAAAAGAATAATAATATGAGCCCTACAAAATTGGGCCAAATATGTAAGTAGCCCAGCATCCTGTTCCTAAAAATAGTTAGCCAACTGCCACTGAGACATCCATAAGCACAGCATGAAGGCAAGCTCCCTCCCCTGTTATTCCCCCCCCCAACATCTAATATTCAGAGATACCTCTGAACATGGAGGTTCCATTTAGCCAAGCACAGCTCGTGATTGTTTATAGACCACACATTTGTTTTAAACATTTGTTTTAAAGCCGTTAAAGCTATTGACCATAATCATATTTTTGGCAGAAAATTTCATAAATTAATTGCATGTTGAGTACTTCACATGAGCTTGCTTTTAGAGAAAGGGTGAGATAGAAATACTTTAAATAAATAAACAAACCTTGTCACTTCTGAACATATTACCAAATCAACTTCATTGATTCTTGCATACATGCCCTTAAGGTGGCTCATTATGTTATAGCTGGAGAATCTTGGTTCTAATGGCTTAACTGTGGATTCAATCAATGCTTTCTGAAAGCAAGGGAACAGGGAAAATGGAGAAAACAATTGCTCACCATGCCTTAAAATTATTGCCTTACCTCCATAAATAAAGATGGGGTCTGCGATAAGATCTCTTTGATTATCATCAGGGTTGCCTCATTTCTGGCTGTGTGTTTGTGCCTTTAACAGCCATATGATAAGCAGAAATCTATCCACTGAAGCTTTTCCATGCCAGGAAACTTTCCAACAACCTAGTGATTTCATTGTGAGGCTGGGCATTTGTGACTTGCCCAGAGAAGAAGAGGAGGAAGAAGAAGAGATTGGATTTATACCCCACCCTTCACTCAGAGCGGCTTACAATCTCCTTTCCCTTCCCCTCCCCACAACAGACACCCTGTGAGGTAGGCGGGGCTGAGAGAGCTCTTTCCAGAACTGTTCTTGAGAGAACAGCTCTGACAGAATGATGGCTTGCCCAAGGTCATCCAGCAGCTGCAAGTGGCGGAGTGGGGAATCAAACCCAGTTCTCCCAGATTAGAGTCCATGCTCTTAACCACTACAGCAAACTGGCTCTCCAGGGCCACAGAGGATGGGGCCATAACTCAATGGCACTTTCACCATGGCACCTATCCCATCTTTCAGGAAAGTGGGCACTTTCTTTAGAAATTGTAATAAATTTATCATTGCTATGGGCCCAAGATAAAACTATTTCATATTTAAATTCAACACAACTTATCCATAATTATATTAAAGTTGTACAGATGTGGGGGTTCTGTGTTTGAGGCTTGCTCAGCATATGCAGCTGTCTAAGGTGGCGGAACAAGGCATACCACTGTTGAATATAAGCCCATAAAATAAAACTCTTAGTAGTGCGGAAAGGCAGCCCTAGATGCTCAGAGGTACTCTGGTAATTAAAAGTGTTTAATAAATATGTTATTGTTTGTGCATGTTTGGGGTTATGTTAGGGATGCCAGTCCCCAGGTGGGGGCGGGGGATCCCCCGATTTTTGGGGCTCCCCCCAGATGCTGGCCAGCTGGCCCCACCCCAACTGTCATCTGCGGCCCCACTTTTCATGCAGCGCTGCCCACTTCTGCCCTGCAAGTAGCAACTCCGTGGCTTGCAGGGCAGGTGTGCGCGGCACCCTCTCTTTTCAAGCAGGGACCATTCACGCCTGCCCTGCAAGCAGCTAATTCTTTGATTGTAGGGCAGGCAGGCACAGTGTCAGCTTTTCCCTCAACCATTTAAAGGGAAGGTTCCCTTTAAATGGTTAGGAAAAAGCAGGAAGCATGTGTGCTCGGTGCTGTGTCTCTGACATGATGACATCACTCTGCATGATGTCATTGCATCAGGGAATGCCCCTCCCCCTTCCAGAACACCCCTCCCAATTCTCCTGCTGGGGAGAAAATGGGACCTGGCAACCCTAGGTAATGTGCAAGTCATACAGTAGTCATGTAGCTCCTTTGGTCGGTGGGAACTGCAAAAGTGGCTCTTTGCTGTCTGAAGGGTGAGTACCACTATTCTAAATGAACACACTTCTCTATAGCTGCCAAGCATTATTGGACTGTGTTGTCTCCTTTCTCATCTTCTCCTCCTGTTGCTTGTAGGCCTGAGTGTGGATGAGAAGCTTCTCCAGCTAATGACAGTAAGATATGGCGACTCGTCCAGGAGACTCAGCTTTCCTGATTTTGTGTGCTGCATGATTCGACTCGAGACCATGGCAAGTAAGTCGCATGCTGTCCTTTACAATGGATTTTCTGTCTAGAGAATAGTTTGCGAGAAATGAACTAACTCACTTCAAGTTCCAAGAGCCAGCAGATTTCTGGCACAGTGGGTATATCCCACTGTCTTAACATCCGAACTGTGTTAGTTCAAGCCCCGCGCTGGTGTGAGCAGCCAGCCTGTTGTCCCCAGCTCGTTGTCCACCCAGCGATTTGAAAGCTTCGGCGAGTAGATAAATGGGAACCACTCTTTAGAGAGGGTAGACACACCAATCTCCCTTGTGGGAGGGTGTTAGCTGACGGTCGGGACGTCCTGGTCGAGGTTTGGGAAAAGGCGGAAGAACGTCTCGACTACAAAAATCCCTGCACTGGATGTTTCCAGCCAGGCGGTGGCAGTGTGGCAATTTGACATACGAATCCTGAAGCCTGGTTGACAAGCAGCCGTTCGGAAAATGACTGAGCCAAGCCAGAAGACATTTACACCGTGCAGTGACAGTGTGTGCAATTAAATTAATATATGTTGTCTTCCCTATCCCCTATGAACATTGTTAGTCCCCTGTCTAAAATGTGTAACTGTACATCGCTTTGAGCCCACTGGGGAAATCGATTAATAAATTGAAAGTATTATTATTATTATTAGGATCACTTGGAAGGGCCAGAAAACAGAATGCAAACTGAATAGTCTGCATTGTATTCCTCATTTAGATGTCCTCATGGATGCATATCTTAATTCACATCTGATTTTTTCTTAGTTTTAACTCCATCAAGTGGTATGGGTGCATGTCTGCTTCTATACAATGTTCTCATTAGCTGGGTTAGGAGAATGGAACATAAAACTTCCACACTCTCTATTTTGTACTTTGTTGTTGTTCAGTCGCACAGTCGAGTCCGACTCTTCGCGACCCCATGGATCATCTCCCGCCAGGCCCTCCTGTCTTCCGCCATCCTCTGAAGTTGGCTCAATTTCATGTTTGTTGCATCGATGACACTGTCTAACCATCTCATCCTTTGCCGTCCCCGTCTTCTTTGACCTTCAATCTTTCCCAGCATCAGGGTCTTCTCCAGGGAGTGCTCCCTTCTCATTTGGTGGCCAAAGTATTTGAGCTTCAGTTTCATTATCTGGCCTTCCAGGGAACAGTCAGGGTTGATTTCCCTATTTTCGTTGTAGTTTGTAGTCCTTATATAAAATGCAATTTAAAAATCCCCTTCGGGGGGCCGGGAAAAAAAAGAAACAAACAGCAGTAAAAGTTCAGGTTGTATCCATTACTATTTTCCTTTTCTCCTTTCTCCTTTCATAAGAACATAAAAAGAGCCCTGCTGGATCAGACCAGTGGTCCATCTAGTCCTGCATCCTGTCTCACACAGTGGGCAACCAGTTCCTCTAGTTATCATAGTCTGCATTTGACAAGGTGCCTCTGAAAATTTATCAGATAATCATTTTAAGTTAAGAAATGAAGAAGCAAAGTGTCCTTACATTTCCATGATTTATTCATCTGATCATGTTAAATTTTTACACACTCCTGCTTTAAGGAAAGCCAGTTTGATAAAAGCATCTTGCATGGTTAAGTGCTGAACAAAATGGGACGCTTTTAAAGCTAAGAAAAGTGGAGTCACAATTCCAAATCTGCCTAGAATAAGCATCTCAAAATCCACCAATACCTCTCAATTATTATTTTACTGAAAGTTTAAAATGCATGATACATTTCTTTAAACACTTGAAAGTGCTGCCAGTGGCATTTTCTCAGGAGATGATTGCTGAGCTAAATGGGAATAACGGACCGTGTGCCGCTAATGTGAATGGAGAATGGCTAGTGAAATAAATAAATAAATAGACAGATGGGCTCATTAGAATGATTATTCATGTTCTCTGGATAACCATGAGCTAATAATACCTAAATCAAAAACATCTCGCCTTTTATCATTCACACTAAAATGGAGGTGGAAAAGAACCAGAGATTAAATCACACTTAAAACCATAATTTATGCACCATTATGTGCTGAGATTATTAGTTTAGGACTGCTAGATTTGCAGTATGTAGCCAGGAAGAAGAATTTTGCCTTGATTGTAAAGACCGAATACCCTTTTCTGAAGTCCTGTATGTTTTCATTTGTTTCAGAGTATTTTCAAGCACTTTCTAGCAATTAGCCACATACAAGCATAGAATGTTGTTCTTTCCTCTAATTTTCCCCTTCCTTGAAGGATTTTGCATGCAGAAATAATTTGTGCTACATCACCCTGATAAAATGGACTGCTGCATGTTTACGCATATGGAGGGATTCCTTTACTCCCGTCTCTCGGATGGAATAAAAATGGCAAAGAAAAAGGCACCATCAGAAGAGAAAGGCTACATTCAGATGTCACAACAAACCTCTGTTTGTCTGTCATGGGCACAAAAATAACTTCCTGGTGTACTTGTGCATTCCCTCCTATGCCAAGCCATACCTATGCCAAACTATACATGGCTCAGACCTAGTGGCAACATTCCAACGAATCATTAACATTTGCCTCATTTCCAAGCAAATGCTCAGATGAAGAGAGAAACCATGGCATGTCATTAACATATCCATACCTATTATCAGTATTGAGATACTGGGTGAACATAAGAACATAAAAGAAGCCAATGTTGGATCAGGCCAATGGCCCATCCAGTCCAACACTCTGTGCACACAGTAGCCAAAAATACCAGGTGCCATCAGGAGGTCCAGCAGTGGGGCCAGGACACTAGAAGCCCTCCCACTGTTGCCCCACAAGCACCAAGAATACAGAACATCACTTGCCCCAGCCTAAGAGTTCCTATCTATAGCCACTGATGAACCTCTACTCCATATGTTTATCCAATTCCCTCTTGAAGCCATCCATGAGCAGGTACTAGGAGTATACACATTTAGTGATCGCTCTTTGACATGACACCTCCAGCAAACCATTGTGTTCTAATAATTACAGTTACGGTTTGTTTTGAGTGTGTGGGAGAAACTGGCTATATCTTATTCCCACTGAGGGTCACTTTACACCTTGCATTTTTGATCCTTCAGTTATTTTGTTCATACCATTTGATAGAAAATCTTAACATTTACAGTTCGCAAGATATTGCTTTATTCATTTTAGAATTTTTTAATTTTACTGCCTAAATGCAGCAATAAATAAAAAAAGCTTCTATGGTATTTTATAGAATTGTTTCTTTTTCAATAGTTTCATACACCTTCCTTGTCCATTTTCATAAAATGAAATGTATTTTGTACTCTCCAGAGGCCTTTCGCAATTTATCTGCAGGTGGGAGACAAATCTCTTTCTCTGAAAATCAGGTGAGTGGTGTTTATTTCCATTTTGCTCTTTCTTGCTTTCAAACAAAACAGAATAGCTTTTTATATACATTTATTTATAATCAGCTGTTCTGTTAACATCAGTGAAAGATGGTTTAGGAAGAGGGGACTTCTCTGTGGCACTTTTAATATTTTTTTCCAATGCAGAAGACAGTGCTACAACAAGGTCACTGTCATGCTATTATAAACCAGTGTCCAAAGTCCCAAAACCCCCAACAGCAGGAATGTTCAGATAGAACTGCTGTCCTCTAAACAATAACTTCCAGTGTTGTGTGCTGAAAAAATACAATATTTTTAAAGCCACATATTAAAAATAGTCCTTAATCCCCTTATGTCAGCCTTTTAATTTACCAAGTAAGTTCTCAGTGGGCCTTGAAGGGCTGTTGGTAACCAGAAGCAAACCAAACAAAGTCCCAGCAGCACTGGCCATTGATGCAGGGGACACTTGGCTTGAATTCAGCCAGTAGAAATAAGAAGTCTGAGGTCCCTCCCCCTCCTGCTGAGCCAGCAACTGGACCTATGCCAAAATGATCCTGCAACATCTCAGCTTGCTCCTGGGCCATTTTATCAGCTTAATTTGTACCTGATGATTGTCAAAGAACATTTGGACTGAGAAAAGTGATCCAAATGAAGAAGCTAAGCTACGCAGACAGGAGTGGGTTTAGTAGTTCCTACTGAGTTATAAGGAACAAGCCGGGACCACAGTGAAATGAGACCAAAGCTGACCAGTGGTCAGAAAACGTCCATACCTTAGACCAGGGGTCATTTCGTAGAAAAAGAGGTGCAGGAGCTCATTAGCATAACTCATTAGCATAACTTATTTGCATATGCCACACCCCCTGACATCACCAGAAGTGTGTTAGAAGGTGGAAGAGCTTGTACCTGAATAAACCTTGGTTTTAAAGGTGCCACTGGACTCTTTTGAATTGCTAGCTATGGGGGGGGGGAGAGAAACACACAGATCTGCCCTCACAAAGGAGGGAGAGCTTTTACCTAAATAAGCCTTGGACTCTTTGCATTGCTAACTAGGGGGGTAGTATTAATGGTAATGCTGTTTGAAATGTCACAAATAATATTTGGTCAAATAAACAGGAGCTGTGCTTGCTTTGGCTTTGCAAGCTACATCAGTCTCTGGGACAAAGCCCACCCGAACATGTGACTCGTGCAGGCTGTGAAGTCATCTAAGAGATCTGTTACATGATTCTACCATGAAAACAGTTGAATTAAAACATGAAATAAAGTGTTTTGACTTCATAGCATTAGTGTTTTATGGCCATTCGTCTTAAAATGCTTTCAGAATTGTTACTGTGTACTTGCCACAAAAAAGCACATAAGTAAACAACTATAAAATTTAGTAATCTAATCCACTGTCAATTAAAAGCAAGCTTAAAAATAGTGAAAAGATTCAGAGAAGTAATTTGTAGCTACCTTAACATCAAAGTACATATCTGTCCCATTACTTAAATGAAAATGGTCAACGGAAAATAAGTTTGCAGCAGTCTCCATTTTGTACAGACTTTAATTGCCAAGGAAAGTTTTATGAGCCAGCTCAAGAAGGAGGCCCTTTTTAAATTAAATGTTTATTTTCAGTTCTGCACACCCAACTGGCAGAAACAAGGGCCTAACAGATAGTCTCACAGAGTTATCTCATAAAGGCATCTCTCAGCAGAACATGAATCTCATACACAGCCTTGGTCTTAAAGGTGCCTGGAAAGATGGGGGGGTGTTTGCAGAGGGGGAGGGGAGGGTAACCACAACTTACTTTCTTTGTTCTTTCTCCTCCCGGGCCAACTGAGGGAAGGGCTGCTGGGAGCAGGGGGCGGGGCTTGCTACATGTCCCCACCCCCTGACCTCCTCTCTGCCGGAGCGTCGCTCTGGTGAGCTCCAGCTTGAAACGAGGCCTGCTCTAGACATGTATAAGTGTGAATGTGCTCCACTTCCAGTTGGTCCAAATCCACATTGAAGTGGCCCAAGTTTATGGGGAAAAAACTTTCCATACCCAGAGTCTCACCACCAAACTAAAGAAGCTGTTGTCTTAGGTTCCACATGAAGCTTGAATGAATTCCCCCTCTACAAGCTTGGAAGGAACACTGAAAGAAAGAAAACAGAAATAAAGTATATTAAGGGGAGTAGAATGAATATCTGGGCAGGGAAATAAGCAAACTTCAAGCAATCAAAAGAGTTTCAACAATCCAACCAAATGTTTAGACTCCATACTAGAAACCCATGAGAAAAACCAATTATTCCAGTGTTAGATACGAGACTCGAGGCAGCAGGTGAACAGTGATAACAGCTTTATTTGAACACAAAGTCAGAAGAACCAGAACGACACAAACTGTGGAGCAACAGACTCCTTTTTAAACAGTCCGGGCTTGGCAAGCCATGCCCACATGTCAGCTAAGGTCCAATCAAATACAGTGCATAAAGACCAATCACTTTGCTTCCCTCCAGAACTTCCTTTGTTCTGATAGGTCGGTTTACAATACCTTTCTAGACTCAAGCTCATGCATTCATTACATTACATTACATACACAACATCCAGGTATCCAGATAATATGAGAGGGGATGCCAAAGGCAAAAGAGGTAAACAAGAGACAGTAGGGAAAGATGGCTGTACAGCCATGCAGGTCTATGTGGAGATCTAAGTTTTTTGGCAGCAAATAATCCAAAAGGGGGAAGTAATATAATCTAACATCTATCAACAGGTGCTCCATAACTCACTAGACAGGGTAGATAAAGGGCAGACAAAACCTCCCTTGGGGGACAGATTCTGGCCCCAGTTGTAGGACAGGCAGTAAAGTTCAAATATTTTATTTCCAGGGTTGGAACCAGGAAGAGAGTAAAGTGGGGGGGGGGTTCTGACTTGAGATGTGAAAAAAGCAAGAGAAAAAGAAGGTGCTACAGGGTCCTGGGAAAAGTTCTAAATAAGCCAAAAGAGGGGGCAGTCTTGGTCCAATCAGTGAAATGGGGCTTTGGCAGGCAATTCAAATAGCCTAAATTGGATCATAGTTAAGCCCAAGGTGAGAAAATCTTTCTTTGGGAAAAGTTAATGCAATATGGCTAATACTGATCAATCATTGAGAGACCTTGATTAATGACTTGATTGCCAGGTACTAGGTGAGGCAAAGTGGGGATTCTCCTTGGAATAGCCTGTTCTACTCCATTTAGAACGAAGAGATGAAGCATGCATGTACTACTTCTTTTCACTGTTGTCCATTGTCATGTAAATGGATTAAAACTTGTTCACAAGTCGGATGTGACATGCAGTAGCACAGTGATCCTAGCCTTAAGATGGAAGGTGTGTGGGGTAGAGAAATATGGAAGCAGCGTTATAACAACTGAAGCAACTATAGTTGGGGAAAACACGATAGCAGTAAATAAGGTTGAAAATTCTGCTCCAGTCCCCCAAAGCTATTTTCTGCCTGAAAATCAAAACAGGTGAATGTTTGGTACAGAACACTAGCCCAATTATACGCTAGTTATATTTTACATTGAATATTTCATGCACTAAATTCTTTTTTCTTCCTTTCTCGCAGTGGATAACAATAATCATGTATTGCTAAGGCAGAGATATGGCTGTATGAATACTGGTAAGAATTTCCCCAAATGTTGCTATGGAAAACAAATGTTTGCCATGAGCTTATTCTTGCATTCAAGCAAGCAACTTGTGGACTTGAAACATATAGTTAAATTTGAACTTAAAAGCCCTTTCCATTTAGTCTATTTTTGCCCAAATACCAAAATTTTGCACTGGAGGGAACTGGCAACCCTGGCAGGCCAGCTTTTCTCTTGGCTCTGGCTGGGACCTGACTGTATCTTCGATCAGTATAGTTTAACAAGTGGGAACCCACAAAGACTTGTGGGAGGCATCTCATTTTCCTCTCCCCCCCCCATTTCCTCTTTCTCTTTTCCGAAAGCCCCCCCCATAGCTTCCTTCTTTCCTTCTAAGGTTGCCAACCTCCAGGTGGGCCATGGAAGTCTCCCAAGTACAGACAGCAGTTCTCCTCTATGGCTGCCAGCTTCAAATTGGGAAGTTCCTGGGTATTTGGGGATGGAGACTTGGGAGGGTGAGGTTTGGGGAGGGAAGCAACCTCAATAGGTTATAATGCCTTACAGATGATGCTCCAAAGCAGACATTTTCTCCAGGGGATATGGTTACTGTAATCTAGAGAGCAGTTGTAATTCTGGGTGATTTCCAGTCATCACCTGGAGGTTGGCAACCCTAGTTCCCCTTGAGGGAATGGCTGCTATGTAACCCTCCTCAAACCCCACCCTCCATAGGCTTTAGCTCCCCAAATATCTAGGAATTTCCTAGCCTGGAGTTGACAACCCAATCTCCTTCCCAACCAAAAGCCAACCTACCTTTATCTGCCCTTCTGTCTCAAGTTTTCCTCTCCACACCTTTCCTCAGCTTCTGTCTCAAGTTTTCCTCTCCACACCTCAGCCTCTAGCCCAGGCCCACTTGCATTGTAGGGAACCCTCATTTTCCCCTATATCCACCTCCCCATACTATTTATTCTTTCCACCCTTCTGGCAACCCCCATATCCTCTCCCCTTACCCTGCCTTATTCTTTCCTTCTCAGCCATTCACCAACCTTCTTTTTATCTGCCTCCCATCTCAGCTATATTTATTACTTATTTACTTCATTTATACCCCACAGTGGGGACAAAAGCAGGTTACATTATTCTATTCTCCTCTTTATCTACACATCAACCCTGTGAGGGAGGTTAGCCTGAAAGTATGTCTGTTCTGAAATCACCCAATGAACCTCCATAGCAAGATGAGGATTTGACCCTACATTGAAGCTCTATCTGCTTAGGGTTGCCATCCCCCCCCAATGGGGGCGGGGATCCCCCACTTTTGGGGGGCCGAATCCACTGCAGCTCAGCTGGCTGGGGAGGGCCCTGCCCCCGAGCAGCCCCATCTTTGCCCAATGTGCTCAGCATGATAATGTCACCCAGAGGTGATGTCATCACGTAGGGCACGTTGTGCAGGGGATGCTCTGGCATTTGGGGGGAAACTCTATGGTAACCAGAGGTCATTTTGGGGGGGAAAGCGAGGAAACGCAGTTCCCCCGGGTGAGGTACGGGGGGGCGGGGCACATGACGAAGCCCCGCCCCCTGCTTCTGGCTGCCCTGCTTCCGGCCCTCATTCAGCCAGGAGGAGGCAGGAGAAGAGGGAGGGAGAGTTGCTTCCTCCCTGCCTCTCCCCACCCCTGCCTGCCTGGGGCCAGGGAGGGACTTCGCAGGGCTTCCTTGCACTCCCGCCGGCCTTGCAGGTCAACCGCCGGGCCCCTCATGGGGCTCGGCAGTGGAGCTGCAAGGCCGGCAGTGGCCAGGATCATTGGGGGCGGGTTGTGTGGCCTTATGACACACTTCCGGTGATGTCAGAGGGTGTGGCATATGCTAATGAGTTCCCCTAGCTCTTTTTCTACGAAACAACCCCTGATGGTAACTATAGAGTTCCCCCCAGGAAGAAGACAGGAGCCCCCTGCCAGAACACAGTAAGGACCTGGCAACCCTATAATGGCTACACTACACTGGCTTTCATAGGGTAGCTGCTGTTCAAGAGTAGCAAGCAGCCAGGCCTAGCTGAGTCATGCAAGTCGGTTGTCAAGTCATCCAGAGGCTGCTTCCAGGCCTAGGGTTGCTAATCTTCAGGTGGGACCTGGAGATCTCTCAGAATTAAAATTGAACTCCAGATGACAGAGATCTGTACCCCTAGAGAAAATAACTGCTGGGGGGGGGGGCTCTATAAAATTTTATTCAGATCACACCTCTTCCCCATCCCAACCCTGCTCATCTCAGACTCCACCACAAAATCTCTGTGGATTTCCCAACCTGGAGTTGGCAACCCTAGGCCTGACCCTAAAGAGTTTTCCCTCAAAGTCCAAAATAGACTAGGGCTGCCAAGCTGCGGCAGGGGATCCGCATGTCTTCACAGGATCCCTGCAGCGGGGGACAGCGATACGCGTTGCACCGCCGTCGCCAGGATGTGACGCTACACGTCGCTCTGGCAACAGGGCTGTTTGGAGTCCCGTTGCCAGAGCGATGCATCCTGGCGATGGCGGTGCAACGCGTATCGCTGTCCCCCGCGGCAGGGATCCTGTGAAGGCATCCGGATCCCCCGCCGTGGCTTGCCATTCCTTTAATTTTTTTCAGCTTTTAAAAATTCCCCCCGTTTAATTTTTTTTAGATTTCAGATTTTTCTGCAAATCTTGGGCCCTTTTCAGGTTTGTAGAAAGATCATCTTGCCCATTCATAGTTCCAGTCACTGGATTTAAGTATCCAGAGATTTGGCCAACTTTCCTATTAGACAGGGGTCGTTTCGTAGAAAAAGAGCTAGGGGAACTCATTAGCATAACTCATTAGCATATGCCACACCCCCTGACATCAGGGGCCCAGTGGTGAACCTGCAAGGCCAGCGGGAGTGCGAGGAAGCCTCGCCAAGGCCCTCCCTGGCCCCAGGCAGGGAGAGGTGGGGAGAGGCAGCAACTTACCCTCCCTCTTCTCCTGCCTCCTCCTGGCTGAATGAGGGCTGGAAGCAGGGCGGCCGGAAGCAGGGGGCGGGGCTTCGCCATGTGCCCTGCCCCCCATACCTCGCCCAGGGGAACTGCGTTCCCCCGCGTTCCCTCCCGAAATGACCTCTGCTATTAGAATTTAGGAAGGCAATGTAGGGCCAAGAAGAGCATTAGGACCTTGAGGAGAACTGGCTCCAGAAAGCTGCCTGATGACAGCTGTTACAATAGGCAGTTCACCACCTAGTGGTGCATAACTCTAAAAAGAACTAGAGCTTCTGACTGCCAGGCAATCTTAGGATCTCCTGGCTATACTATACACAATGCCATACGATGATGATGACGACGACGATGACAATGATGATAATGATAATAAGGCAGCTGCAAAGTGTTTTGGGGAAAATGAATATAAACAGTGAAGTCAGTAGTTCTCAAACTCTTAGATATAATCACTGTCCTCTGATCTTAATTCTCAGGCGCCCTAAATGATGAAGGATAGGAAATTTATTATTGGGGTTGCAAGCATTCAGAAATATTCCATTATCTTGGTTACATAGTGTGGGAACTCTCCTCTTTACTCACCAACATGTGATCATGGCTGCCTTTGCAATGCTGCTCAGCAGTGAAATGGCTCCCAGTAAGAAGGCAAGATGGCTGAGAAAGCTTTTTCCTCATGACCAGGGGTATTTCTTCCTTCCCCCTGCTAGACCCTTACTTTTTTACATTCCAAAAGAAAGATTGAGAGTCTAGAATTTGGATTCAGGTAGTTAGCTGTGTTGGTCTGAAGCAACAGAACAAAGTATGAATCCATGTACATGAAAGTTTATACCCAGAATTAAACTTTGTGGGTCTTAAAGGTGCCACTGGACTCAAACTGTGATCTAGAATTTGGTCTCTTAGGTATGACTTTTTCTATTCTGTGTTCTTCCCTGACTAGGACATCTGCACATCCTCTGCGAGAGATGGCTCTTGTGCTGGGAGAGAAGTAGCCCACCCTGCTTTTCCCTTATGTGCCTGTTACTCTGTAAAAGGCACTTAAAACTCTCAGAGTGTGTACAGAGTACAGATTCAATTATAATAGCTTTGACATGCTGGAGTGTAAGGCATTTTGCCGCAAGATGCACACCTCCATCTTTCAGGAGGAGTGTAACCCCATCCAGTATGAACCACTTTTCAGTGTGTGCATTAGCCCCACCCATAGTATCTCTGGCTTGTCTGGATTAAACTTCAGTTTATTAACCTCATCTAGTTCTTCACTGTTTCCAACATCACTGTCTCCTGGATTCTGATGGAGAGGAGAGAGAGCGAGAGAGCGCTGTATATTTGCATATGGGTGACACTGTTTTCCGAATCACCAGATCATCTCTCCCAGCAGTTTCTGGTAGAGATTAAAAAATATGGGGGACAAGATCCACCTCAAGCTATGCTTTTAGGGGAGGAGGTGATTGGGATTTTATTCTTTTCTGCAGATTTTAAATTTGGATTTGTAAACTGCTTGGAGCCACCTGAAAGCATAAGGTATAAATATTTTAATACTTTTAATAAATCAGTCAACAGGTGTATTCATTGACCATAACTTTAAAGGATATTGGACTGTAATTAATAGATTAATTAATTAATTATCATTTGGCAGTGTGTGTCATATAGCCAGGAGATCCTAAGATTGTCCGGCAGCCAGCAGTTCTAGCTCTCTTTAGCATTATGCTTATTTTAAAGGCAAGAAACATTTCAGAGGTGGTTTACTACTGCCTGTCTCAGCATCATGCCCCTGGTATTCCTTGGAGGTCACCCATCCAAATATTAGCCAGGGTTGACCCTGCTTAGGTTCCGAGATTTGATGAGATCGAGCTAGCCTGGGCTATCCAGGTCAGGGCTACTGGACTGTAATCCCCTATTAATGACCAGCTGTAATTTGCTTTTGAAGGTGGAAGGAAGAATACTCTAATTCAGACCTTCAAAAGGTTGTGAGAGTTTCAAGAGTGCTCACAGGAGCTGGAAATACTTGTGTGGGTTGAAGCCAAAACTCCCTTCCACTGACTCTTCCT